TCCATTTTATCTGCCTCCTTCTCTCTTTCTCTCTCACGGTTCAAATAAAATACATTCAAAATGCGTAAGGGTGAAGCGTAACTCGTCCAATTAAATATCGCATCTCAGATAAAATGCTTTCAAAAATGTCTAAAAATAAATGTAACTATATAATAAGGGAATTAAAAATATTGTAAATACACAGAAAGAACAATTTTGTTGAATCCAGATGTAAAAATAATTTCTGTTGAATAATTAAAATAATTTTGTGCGAAATTCAAAATTATTGTTAGAAAACGTTTTATAGCAATGCTTATCAGTTTTAACATTCACCTCAAAAAAATATTCTATCCTTTAGCGGTACCCTCTTGATTCTAACAGATTTTCCTCTTATACATACGGCCTAAAGAAGATATTCTAAAATGTAGAGGAACATCGAATTACTATGAGATGTTGGATTTAAGATTGCAATCCTCTTAATGCTGAAAGAATCTCCTTTCAATTAAAAAAAGAATGTCACATTTATTTTAATGGAGGTGAGGATTACAATAACTCTACTAGAGTAAACTAATTTTATGGTATTCCTAAAAGCGGTCACCCATCCAAGCCATGTACAGTCGTGGACAAATAGGTTGCGACACTTTTTTTTATAGATTTCAAAACGCATTAATATTTTGCAAATGCGAACCATGATTGGTGTTATACTGTCTCTAGACTAAAGATAGTACATCGTGGTTCGCATTTGCAAAATATTGGTTACTTATAAAATATACATTATGAATATTAAATATATATTAGAAACCTATAAAAAAAGTGTCGCAACCGATCTGTCCACGACTGTATCTAGTCAAGTGTTGCTTCACCTTTGTGATCGTCCGAGAACTGATGTTTCGTGCTGATCCACATAGTGTTAGTGACGTTAACAACTCTGTTCGCATACTTAAAGCAACCAAACAGAAAGCAATGACAATTATAAACGACGAGAACTTGACTGTTTTTTTTTTTATAACTATAATATATTGCACTGTTTTAACTTAATTAAGTGAACACGCGGGAAGGAACGTATTGCATAGCATATGTACGCATTCGCGTATATGTGATTTTACATTAGTTTTATGCATAGACTTATATAGCTTATATATAATAGCTATGGTTTTTAGCAACGTTTGAATCACTTTAATTGTGAAATTGTTCGCACGATTGCACAAAGCTCGCTGCCTTGTATGCGGTGACATATGCATATCGCGTAGCAAATAAATGGAAAATCTTCTTCTAACAAATAAGCGCGCCGCTAGTATCTTGCATATCCTCTTATTCCAAGAAACTATTCGAGTTATTATAATGAAATTTCCTATGAAGGAATTTATTCTTGATTATAGCGCATGTGTCCGCTTCTTTATAGATAAATACGCGTTATAGCTGAGAAATATGCTTCATGTAAAATTTTTTTGCTTGGAGGAAATGCCTAAAGGAATTTCCCGTTTATAAGACCATTAGAACATTTTGGGGGGGGAGATCGGAAGAGCACACG